GAGGAGGTTGAGGAGGAGGTGGTGGAGGTGGAGGTTCAGGAGAAGGAGGAGGAGGTGGTGAGGGAGGTTCAGGAGGAGGAGATTGAGGAGGAGGTGGTGAAGAAGGTTCAGGAGGAGGTGGTGGATGAGGAGGTGGAGAAGGAGGTTGAGGAGGGTTGAGAAGGAGGTGAAGTTGGTGTGGAGGAGGCCACCTGTGGTGACGGCTTCGACGGCGATGAGGGAGATGCAGAGGCAGCCGGCGAAGCTCTGCAGGAGGCCGCTCCCACAGCCGCTCCCGTAGCCACAGCTGTAGCTGTGGCTGTAGCTGTGGCTGTAGCTACAGCTGTGGAAGCGGCTGTAGCTGCAGCTGCGGCTGTCGCCGCGTGCCGAGCGTCGCCGCCACAGCAGCAGCACGGAGACGTCCACCGCCACCTTGAGCAGCAGCAGCAGCAGCAGCAAGTCGCTCGGCGACTCGGGGCCCAGCGACATCCTCCACCTCCTACTCCACCTCCACCTGCTCCACCTCCTCCTCCACCACCTCCTTCTCCACCTCCTCCTCCTCCACCACCTCCTGCAGCAGCAAAACACAAAGATCCCCCGTGTAGCCTCAGCAGACTGTTGGGGCAAGTGGTGTTAGAGAGCAGCAGCAGCAGCAGCACGGGCCTAGCAGCAGCCTTCACCATCACCACCTCCACCACCTTCACCACCACCACCTTCACCACCACCACCTTCACCACCACCACCACCTTCACCACCACCACCTTCACCTTCACCACCACCTCCACCATCACCTTCATCACCACCACCTCCATCACCACCTTCATCACCACAACCACCACCACCACCTTCACCACCACCACCTTCACTACCACCACCACTACCTTCACCACCACCATCAACACCTTCACCACCACCTTCACCACCACCACCATCACCACCACCACCTCCATCACCTTCACCACCACCTTCATCACCACCACCTTCACCACCACCACCACCTCCATCACCACCACCTCCACCACCACCACCTCCACCACCACCACCACCACCACCTTCACCACCACCACCAACACCTTCACTACCACTACCACCACCTCCATCACCACCACCAACACCTTCACCACCACCAACACCTTCACCACCACCACCACCTTCATCACCACCACCAACACCTTCACCACCAACACCTTCACCACCACCACCACCTTCACCACCACCACCACCACCTTCATCACCACCACCACCACCTTCACCACCACCACCTTCACCACCACCACCTCCATCACCACCACCTCCATCACCACCACCACCTCCACCACCACCACCACCACCTTCACCACCACCACCTTCACTACCACCACTACTACCTCCATCACCACCACCAACACCTTCACTACCACCACCAACACCTTCACCACCACCACCAACACCTTCACCACCACCACCACCTTCACCACCACCACCTTCACTACCACCACTACCACCACCACCACTACCACCACCTCCATCACCACCACCACCACCACCTCCATCACCACCACCAACACCTTCACCACCACCACCACCACCACCACCACCTTCACATCCTCCACCACCACCACCTCGACCACCTCGTCACAGATGTCCAGTCGCGGCACGGGATAAGAACGTCACAACAACAACAAACAACCCAAACAACACCAACAACAACAACCACAAACAACACCAACGCACCATCGGAGAGAGGTAAATAGATCACTGGGACACAGAAGACAGAGACAAACACTCCACCACCCGCACCCTGCCACACGAAGCTCACCGAGGTCTTCACTTATTGTTCAAAAGCGACCTGGGCACAAATGGCAGCTCAACACAGCGGCCCATAAACTCTAAACACGTGACGTTGATTCTAAATGTGGCAGGAGGTCACGGGGCAGACCCAGCAGGTGCCACGGGTCGACTGACTGAGATGACTGGCTGATGCACCACCTGTGCCCCCTTCTGTGCCAACTTGCTGTGCTTTAGCCACCCGGCGCTCCGCTCGTTGTTGTGAGCGTCGCTCCTCCGCCCTCCGTTGTTGTTGGAGGGCGACTGCCTCCAACTGCCCAGTAGCGTCCTTCACGAGCCTCCTCCACAGAGGCCGATCTTGACACTGCTGGTACCAGTCATCGGCAAGTCCACTCAGCTCCACGTCCTCCTGTACCACGTCACTCCATCTCTTC